TGTGTGTGAGAAATCCATCACGTTGTAATTTAGACTAAATAAATAAAAAAACTGTCTCTATAGCTTAATGGGTCTTCTCATTATTGGAAATGGTCACTTGATGGAAAATTTGTGTAAAATTATGAATATTATTATGGTATTATATTCTGCGTAATTCATGTATGACCATTTACCAATTAAAACAAGATACCGAAGTTTAGCTATTACTTAAAACAGAAGTGGCACCAACTGCTAATGGGGTTTAGCTCAATGTAAAAGGGCATTAACTTACATACAAAAGGTCTCATGTTGGAACCCCATGACATCATTTGTGTGTGTGTATGAGAGAAATCCGGGTTCCTCTCCCCTCTAGTTTAAACTATCACTTGTACTAAAAAAAACAAAATTAGCACCGACCATTATCATTTTTGCCTCTATTTTGTGAAACTATCAACTGACACAAATAGATTCTTGGTCATCAAGTTCGTTACAACTTACAAATTTGTAACCTTTTTCAACTTGATTTCTTTCCTGGGTTTTTCTTATTTACTAAAACTCCTCCATAAAAGAAGATGCTTTATGTAAAAGGACAAATTTGATTTCTTTCACAAAGAGAGAGAGAGTAGAAGAAGATGTTTGAAGGTATACTATTTTGTTTGTTGGGAGGTGCTTCTGTGACAGGTCAGTTTATGCTCCGTCTCCTTTCAAAAGATTCAAGCTTTTTGTTCAGCAGAGCTCAGTATGCACTGTTTACGGAGTTTAAGGATTTGGGTTTGCACTGTTTCTTTTTTCCAGTAGAAACTCTTAATTGTTCTTGAAATTCCTATTTGATATATATATTTTTTAAATCTCGTTTTACTGTTCAGAGCCATTGTTGAAATCTGACAATAGATTGATGGTTGCATTTAGGGGAAATTCCTATATAATACATTTATTTTTATTTAATAATTAATATCGCCGGGCGGCTATTCTTTGTCCCTTTTTTATTTTTTTTAAATAATAGGCTGTACTGTCTCCGTTGTTGAGAAAAAAATGGTATAGCCGCGCGGCTATACTTGGGTGTATTAATGTTTCCAAAAATAGTATCGCCACTCGGCTGTACTCACTTTGAGACGCGAGCGCCTAATCGCTGGGCAGGTCCTCGTCCGTTTTTTCGTAAATATTATAGCCGAGCGGCTATACTCCTTTGCCGGCAACGAATTGTGCAGGTGGTGAGGACTTTCCGCCCTTTAGATTCTGCTTCAAATTTGAGGTTCTCTGCTCTAGTAGATGAAGAATTCTCGATGATTGGATCATCTTTCTTTTTTTTAAGAACCTGAAGGCCTTAGTGTTCCTTGTAGCGGCAACTTCACTACACGGTGCTTTTCTGGATTCACTATTGAGATTTGTAAACTGATATTATATATTATGGCCTGTCTGAGTTTGAGACAAGACACCAGGTCCGCTTTACTGTTGTCCTTTAAAAAAAAAGCGTATAGCCGTCCGGCTATACTCTGTCCCTTTAAATCTTTTTTAATATATAGTATAACCGCGCGGCTATACGGTTTTTAAAAAAATAGTACAGCCGGTCGGCTATACTCTGACCCTTTTTTAATTTTTTAGTAAATAGTATAGCCGCTCGGCTATACTGTCTCCTTTTTTTGAAATAAATAGTATAGCCGGCCGGCTATACGTTGCCATGTTTAATAAATAGTATAGCCGCCCGGCTATACTCTATCCCTTTTTTTTTTTAAAATGGGAAATAGCTCATTCGATTGCAATGGAAAAGACGTCAAAATTAATTTTTTTTTTTTTTTTTTCTGTCTTTAAAATAAAAAAAATAAAAAACCATTTTTGCACACCATTCCTATCTATCCCCAACCCCAATCCACGTGAGTCAAGGGTAGGATCTTAGCAAACGCCCAAACCGCAAGCTCTCTCTCTCTCTCTCTTGTCCCTTCACTTCCCTTCGCCCTTGCCAACACTTCTCGTATCTAATTCCCTGTCCCTAATTTCCCTTCCCAACTTTTCCTTTTTAAGTTTCCCGGGAAACAAACAGAAAGATTCGAGAACCCTTTCTTCGCGGTTTCCTATTTCCCTAGAATTTCACTTTTCGTTTTCCCCTCTCAATCCCGAAACCCCTAATTCCGACGTCCTTCTCGATTTTTCTTCTTCAGCTTTTTCATAAAGCGTCAATTTTTCGTGTATCATTTTCTTTCTTTATGAATCCGTTTATTGTAAACTTTGATCCCACCAGTATTACATAACTATGACGGAGAGAAATAGCTCGATGGTTTGGAATTAGAGTTTTACTTGTTGAGGGTTGTAAAAGATGCTGCCTTGGGGTGGATTAAGTTGTTGTTTGAGTGCAGCTGCTCTTTACCTTCTTGGCAGGAGCAGTGGCAGGTCAGTGTATGCTCCATTTTAAAAATTGGATCACCTTTGTTTTAATAAGAGCTTAGTAACCATTAATTACACGCTTTGAAGTTATGAAGCACCTTGTCTTTTGTATTTGTAAGTTCTTGAAGAGATTATATTTGTTGAGGGTAACTTCTTTGGTGTTTTGTGATTTCACAGGGATGCAGATATTCTTAAATCGGCCACTCGGATTAATCAGTTGAAGGAATTGGGTATGCCCCTTTTTCTGAAATTGAAAGACCGGTTTTTGTTTTTTCTTTTCTTTTTTGGCGCTTTTTTTGAAAGCCATTGCCTTTTCAATGCATTTTCATGTCGAATATCTGCTAGTGATCGATGCCGTTAGTCTGCTTGGCTTTGTTTCCTAAGTAAGAATTTTTGTCTTCTCTCACTTTTCAGCTAAATTGTTGGATTCCGAGTGCATATTACCATTGGTGGTTGCAATTTCGGGGAGAGTTAGCTCTGAAACCCCCATCACCTGTGAGTTCACTGGTTTACGAGGTGTAGTTGTGGAGGAAACGGTACACAAATCATAACTCTAAACAATATATGCTTTCATCAGTCATGTTTTTGTTTTCATTTGTAATTGGTAATTAACTATCTTGTTGATCTTCTTCAGGCAGAACAACATTTTTTGAAACACAATGATGCTGGTTCATGGATACAGGATTCTGCTTTGATGCTTTCAATGAGTAAAGAAGTTCCCTGGTACTTGGTGAGTATTTGTGCTCTCTCTCTCTTTCACATGAGAGTATGCAACAATGGCGTATTCGTGGTGTGGTCTTCTGAGACTTCCACATGTCCATTCTTGTGTTTGATTGAGTAAATATTATATTCAGTTCACTTGGAGTTGAAAGTTGAGTATTAGGATATGATCTTGGTTCCTTTTTCTTTTTATCAGGATGATGGAACTGGTCGTGTGCATGTGGTGGGAGCTCGAGGCGCCACAGGCTTTGTATTGCCGGTCGCAAGTGAGGTATTTGAAGAGTCAGGGCGGTCCCTCGTACGTGGGACATTAGATTATCTTCAGGGCCTCAAGGTTTGTCTTGTTTAGTAATTATATCTGGCAAAACTAAGTGGGTTCAAATAATATGATAGTTATTTTGTCTCAGATGCTTGGTGTCAAACGAATTGAGAGGGTACTTCCAACTGGCACGTCTTTGAGTGTTGTTGGTGAGGTATGTTGTAGTTTAATATGATACTGTATCCTTTCATATAGAAATAGCTTAACGCCAACAAATTACAATTGATATTCAGATGATAGACATCAGTTTACATTATAGATTTACTGCTTCTACAAGCATTTTTAGTGTAGTATGGTACCAAAATGTAATTAAGTTGGATGATATGCATGTATGTAATCCAAACACCTTGATGTTTTCCTAGACTGAGCCTTGTTTCTTATAAGAACTTGCACTCGTGTAAAACAGCTTTAACCTGTTGTTTAATAAACAAATTGCCCTTGTATTTGCAGCCAGTTCTTTGATTGTGTGCATTGAAATGTTATGATGTTGGTGTACTCATTTGTATACTCACTTATTGTTTCAAATTTATATCAGGCTGTCAAAGATGACATTGGTACCATCCGGATTCAACGACCTCACAAAGGGCCATTTTATGTCTCTCCCAAAACCATTGATCAGCTTATTGCAAACCTTGGGAAATGGGCAAGGTTGTTTATATGAAAGCCTGAATGTGTATTGACATGTCACTCATGTGCCTCTTAATGGTGTGCTTTTTCTGAAGTCTAATTAATATAGATCTTTTTACCAGGTGGTACAAATACGCATCTTTGGGTTTGACTGTGTTTGGTGTTTATTTGGTTGCTAAGCATTCTGTCCAATACATCTTGGAAAGAAGGCGCCGTTGGGAATTGCAGAGAAGGTAATTTTCGCCTAAGTTTGTCTGTTTATTTGGAAATTGATTGCTTGTGGAAGTCGCTGCATATGTAGTATTGTAAAGGAAAACAGCATGTATTGATTTTGGCACTCATAAAAATAGGCCGCCTGTTCCAAAGAGGTTTATTGTTTTGGGTAGAAGCCCAATTTATTCAACTCTGTTTCTTCTGTCTGTCTGAGACAAATAGATAATGAAATTCCTGTCCGTGCAGGGTTCTTGCTGCAGCTGCTAAAAGATCTGGGGAAGATAATGAAGGTATATTGATGAGTGTCCTCGTTACAATGTTGTATGCAATATATGCCTGAAAATGTACTGAAAGGCTGAACTTTTTTCTCTCAGGTTCAAACGAAAAAGATGATAATGTGTCAGACGGAAGCAAGAGGCTGATGCCAGATTTATGTGTGATATGCCTTGAGCATGAATATAATGCGGTTTTTGTGCCGTAAGAACTGCCTTTTCAGTATTTGATACAATAGGCAGTCTAATTTATTACTTCTTAAATTTAGCACATGGCTTATTCATTTATTTTTATCATCAGGTGTGGTCATATGTGCTGCCCCCCCCCCCCCGGTGGCAGAACTTTTGCTTATGAGTAAACTCGCAATGTTATATGCTTCTTTATCCGGAAATATTCCTGAAATGGTGCTTTCTCACGTTGCTGTTGAAAATTTGTAAATGATTAACGGGCGAACATCCTTGTATCCTTGTATATTGATGAGATCTATAGAAATTATGGCCTCTTTTCTTGTTTGGTTTAACTCGGCCTTTTTCATTTGTTGGCTGATAATGCTTTTATATTTGGTGGAAGAATGATTTTCGTTGTGGGTTGAAATGTTAGTCTTCACCAAGGCATCACTTTCCCACCAATTCGAGCATAAAGATACACTTTACGACAAATGAGAAGAGATCTTAAAGCAAAGTTAACCTATGGGGAAAGAAGAAGAAAAGGAAATAATCTTCTTAACTTTGTATAATTTGATTCTTACATCTGAATGGAAAACAAAGGGAAGGAATATAACCCTAGCTTCCCATTCAAAATTTCCCCATAAAACACGTGAAATGTGAAGAGAATGTTCGTTTACATCAACAAAGCTACAAAACTTTGTGATTTCTTCTTTTCAATTAAAGTACTTTTCCAATTAAGTGCTGAAATGCACCAATGGGGTGTTAGTTGGATTGCTCACACCTTTGAAGTGCTCCCAAGTGGTCTTGGGTTCAAACCCCTACGGTACCTTTGTGTGTGAGTTTTCCCCCTCCCCATCCATTCCTAACTTTGGCTAAAAAAAAGGTGCTGAAATGCATAAAGCATATAACAAATTTGAAGGTTTTGCATTACAATGTAGGAATTGTGAATTTTTTTTTATGGTAGTTTTCCTCATTCACATGAGGTTCTTTCTTTAAAAAAGAGAGAACTTATTCAATTAGTCAAAAGCTAGTCTAAGTTTCTAATGTGAACTGGTTTGTCACCACTCATGACTCACGAGGCAGCGAAAGCATGATTCTTTCAAGCCTTTTTTTTTTTTAGTGTAATTGGTGGGATCACAACCATAAGAGATTCTTGTAATTACAAGGGGGTTAAGTTTTCCACACTCGAAGAGATTCCATGATGCTCATCCATCCACAAGTACTCAATCTTCCCTGCAGGGTGTCTTATTTCCTTCTCGAAAACTCTGTTGTAAAAAAAAGCACTTGTGGAAACCAGCTTTCTTAGTGGTACTTTTGAGAATCTGATAATATCCGTAGAAAATAGAGTCACATAAAGTCTATGAGAAT